TTTCAAGTTTTGCCCATTTTCTGAGTGTGCGGTTGAAAATAACCTCTTGAACGAGAGTGACAGCTGATTCAATGTTCGTGGGCGTGATAAGACAAAACAAACCACACAAAGAGTGGGTTGAAAGCATCGTCCTCTTCAGCGTAGCACGATAATTGTTCAAATGAATGCCTTATTACACTAAACACGCAACAAGCAGTTGGTATTATAAAAATAACACAAATAAATTGCTTAAAGGCAAGTGTTAAAAGAGTTACGTCAAGAACGAGGCATCTTAAAAATTTAAGTTTGTTTTTAGTTTTCCGGCTTCTGGAACAATCTCTCTAAAATGTTAGCGTTCGTTTTTGGTGACCGCCTTGGCTCTTTACTAAGTCTTTGGCGTTTTTCCATCTTAGTAAAGTGTTATCTTTAGGGTTCTCAATATTTATAAAAAATAAAAAATAAAAAACACTTATAAAGAGCTAGAACAAGAATCTCTTTCGGCCATAGATAGTACTCATGACCTTAAAAGTGCTACTTTAGATTGGACTTATGAAAGCTTCTCGTATTGTCTTAGTTTGGCAGCAATAGTATTTTTGTTAATACGTAATTCGCTTTCAAATTCACCCATATCATTTTGTTGAGTCAAGTGCGAAATGTAGTGATTCTATGAAGAGAAACGTCTTTCCCGACATCACAGGAGAAGATAAATTACCACGCCCACAGACGACAAATGAGCGCTACTTAAACTGTGGACACCATAGCGTACCTATGAGCGATGGAAAAAGCTTATCAGCTCCCAGTGTTTTTTTTTTTTTCTCTCTCTTCCCAACGTTAGGGTAGGCTATTGCACAACAACAAGCTAATGGCCGCGTAATAGCAAAAAGGAAAAAAAGTTTGTTTTAAGGTCAAGAATAGAATCTGAATTCCAAAGTCTTGTGACACTAATTTGCAATTTATAGGACTACATTTGTGTCAGGGTGGAGCAATATATTCACTACAGGAGAGGTGTATTTTGAAATGTGTGGGCAATTTAGACTTTGCCTCTTCTTGCTGCGCCTGGAAACGTTTTTTTATTTAGCAGAGCCTTTCAGCCTAATTACTTTTTAACAAGATTTCCGCTTGTTTTGAAGATCAAATAAATGTTCCATTTCGGCAAGTTTATTTTGCCGCGTGCCGATAGCTTGACCGATCGCCGATGCGAATCTCTGCGTGCCTATTGGTTCATTTTAAGTGATTGATACTTCAAGTTCTACAGCTTCTAATTGACTTTTTCGCCAGCACTTGCGGTGACGTAAGTGGAAAAGCCAGACAGTTGAAGTAGTGCGGTTTGCGAGGGTTTAGCTCCAAAATCACGGTAGCATCCACACCTTTTGATGAATCAGCCATACGCACGTTAGGGTCTAGGTCAACGTGAGCGTTTTCACGTTGTCCAGAGAGATTATACTCCAATCTATCTTTAGACGACACTCACTTTAAAAAGAAAAGCATTTACAAAATGGATTAGACACTGAGATCAACATTTAATCTCTGTCACTTCGATGTCTATAAGGAAATTCAAAATGTTTTGCAAATTGTACGTTCGTCTCGAGCCCATTCAAAGTGAGGGAGGTAAATATTACAAACGTTACAGCAATTCATTTTTAGAACAATAACTTTCCAAAAAAGCGTGCTTGAGGCAAACGTTTGCTCCGCTGGAAGCTTGCATTCCGCGCCTTAAAGCCACCGTAACGGCACGATCCTGAGACTACTTATGATTTCACCAATTTCAATGAGCGATAATTTACCGCAATCCACAAAATTGCTGTATATTATGTTCATTTTCTTTTTCAATTCCACAAGATTGGGCTGCGTACAAAACCTTGTTACGCGTCAGCACTTTATTCTATATATACGGACATTTGAAGGATTATTTCTTGTGATTTTGTCTTTTGACACTTCTATTGTTCTGTTGTCAATCAAGGCATTTTCCAATCAATTGATTAAGCTCTGGATATTTAACCAATTGTCACCGAGGGTATTATATTTTGCTTTTTTTTTTTTCTGCGTCCGTCACAAGACTACATAACTGTATTGGACCAGAGCTTGTCCCGGCAGACTTGGACACTCGAGAGTTGAATCATAACAGATCGAAATTCTTTATCAAAAGTACTCTTAAACAAGTTATCAGCTGTATCTCAGGTGAACAAGCTCTCGAATTTTCTCTCCTAAGTTTGCAAGGCAAATCTGCGCAGTACAGTAAGACTCCATTAGTTTTCAGCGTCGTTTACTTACGTTGTTTTGCTTATGTTTCAGTAAACAGCAAAGATTGAATTGAGTTCGCGGCATTTTGTAAAACCAATGCCGTCAGCAATGGAAACTCAGTGGTCTTCACCCAAGTTTATAACTTGCCCCGACTGCGGAGAAAGATACGACAATTCACACAAGAGAAGGCTCATTGATACCTGTGGACATCCACGATGCTATTCGTGTCTCTTTGTAGACAAACCTTGTCCACTGTGTCTGAGTGAGTATCAAGTGCAGACTGTTTGAATTTCCTTGTTACTTTATGGAATCTGCGACTGTTGATTTACTAGGGTAGACTTCTTTCGAGCCGGTCGCTTTGCTGTATGGCGGATTAGTCTGGATCTCTTGTCTCCATTGTTCAAAGGTGCCATTTGCAATTGAATTGCTAAAACAAGCATGCAAGTTTAAGCAATCTAGCATTTCTGATCTTCCATTAACGCAAAAAGTTAAACTGCATTTCAATTTTGAGTCGAAGTATTCTTGTAGTTTTTGTTTACTTGCATAATTTCCACCATCACTGTAGGGAAAAACAAGGTCAGGTTCATGGTTTCGCAGCCGTTTAGTCATTCAATAACATAAGCCACGCGTGATTGCTTGTTTCATTAGGTTCAGCTGAATTTTTCTTACTGCTAAGAAGAAAGACTGAGCGCTCTCAAACATTGTACATTCTTTATTCTTCCTGACATATCACACATAAGAAATCTACTTGAGTGCTTAAAGTTAACTCCAACAGACTAGAAGTAGAGCTAGAAACCAGCGGAACAGTCTGTCACGAGAAAAAAATCGAATAAGAGAACGTGTCAAATACTTTGCATTCCTGCTATGTTCTTTCAAAGTTTACAGAGTTCGATATTGTTATCATAAACTTCATTATGACGAAGTATAGCCCATGTTACGCTCAAGCGGCGGTCTCATAGGAAAAGCGAACAAGCCTTGAACAAAGATCAATCAATGTGTTGTTGAAAACGTTACGTGACATTTCGTGTTGTAACGTTATGCTCCGCGAATCATTAAATTGTTTTACGTAAACTCTAACCACAATAACAGCTTCTAGAAGCCATCAAGACAAGGAAAGGTTGCAAATGTCGCAAACCGCAATAAACAGATTTCTTATCCACTCTTGGAGTTGTTTGTCAGCCGACAAATCGATCGCGAAATGATGCAGGGTTTGTTTAGCTTCAAGAGACTTTCAATAACATTCGCGCATAACTTGGGCACTTTACAAACGCGACAAAATTCCTGCACGCGATCGGTGGATTTTATATCCTGATGCGAGTCTCAAAAACGAACGTTTTACAACACAGTGGGAGACTAATTAAAAGGCATTCCTGGCTGGGAATGACGAGCGAGCATGTTGACAACTGCTAATTGATTCCTAAAAGGAATGTTATCACCTCTTTAGTTGTCGATAAAGAGAAAAGCACGAAAGATTAGCGCGTTGCCCTCTATCGAAGAACAACTGGATGTTTTATTTTCATAGCGCATTATTAACGATTACTTGAAAATTATCACCAAGCATTTTTTTAAAGAGGAGGTCAACATCGATGTAATTCATTGTTCCTTGAAATTTCCGGCTTTAAGAAAATAAATTGCAATCCAGTCCTTCAAGATTACATAGTTAAGACCGCTTTAAATCTGAATAATCTTGTCAGAATACATGGCACAGACCCTAACCTTGGAGACAATTAGCTACCTCACATCCACTCTGCATTTCAAAACAAACCTGGAATGCTTGCAACGCAAAGTTCTTGAACTTTAGAAATAGACATAACAACGAAGGATGAATGTCTGCCAGTCAAATTCATTCAAAATTTAAACATTCAAAATTATTCTATTGTTAAAATCAAGAAAAGAAAGAATGAAGAGATCGCTTCCGCGTAGAGTCATCATTTTTTACAGTTTTTCTCATTTTGGCAAGCAGATAAAATAGTAAGTAAATAACCCACTAAGGAAGCTGAAATTTAGACCAAGAGTGCTGTATCAGCGAGAGACATAGGGTGTTTAGTTAGCCTGTGGAGCCTCTGTTAATGACACGAATTATTGCACGTTTGTTCCTCGGTTTTAAGAAATGACACGCAACCCTCACAGCGGGACACTGGTCTGCTAAGGAGATTCAGACACGTGCTCTCACCCAACTCAGTTTGCGTCCCCTCCATTGCCGCCAAATCTGGTTCCTTGGGTCTCTCGGGGAGAGAGAGACCCTGAGAACGAGGTTGTCCATTGCCTTTAAAAGCCTTAAAATTGAGCAGCACAAGCCAAGAAATGGAGTCAAAAAATAACCATATTTATTTAAAACTGCTCCATACCGCATTTCTTTGCACTATAGCTTCTAGTGCATGGTTGAGTAGCGACTAATGTGATAACGCCCACGAGTAGCGCGTGATTCGTTTCTCGCTCTTTATACACAGATTTAGTGCATTTCATGTCGCACGGGTTTCTTCTCAGCGTGTTGTACGTTACTATGTACACTACACGTGAACTTTGTCATTTACCACTGTGCTTTGTACCTAAATGTGTACTTTGAACGGTTTCTATAATCTTCCTTTTCGCTGGCTTGCATTTAGAACTTGTTTTGTTTTCTTTAATGTGAAACTAGAGGAAGACTTGAAGAAGTCTTATTACGTAGCTTCTTGTTATAGTTAAAAATTACTCTTATTTGTTTTCTTTAACAGTTTGCCTGAGAAAATTCCAATAAAAATACTACACTTTTTCAAACCTTATGTTTTCAAGAGTATCTTGATCGAGTACCGATTGAGTTCTATTCAGCTGATTAGCGAAATTATGGAGATATGAGACCTTCGAACGGAACTAGATTGAAATTCGAAATCGTACTTTACTCAATCTCGTACTCACACTGTTATTATAAGGTCCCTCAAAACAAAACGACTATTCAACTCACACAAACAGAAACATTGTCAATGTGATTGAGTCCCTTGCAACATTTTTAAGTTATTTCTGTTTTTGTTGTTTTTTTGTCAACGCAGAACTTCCACAAGATCCCAAATCGCGTTCCAGTCAGTCGATTCAAACCGGGGGGTCTGGCTCCGATGAATCCTTGAACACCTCAAGTAACACTCTGACATCCGGGAAACTAACCAAGGATCAAAGCTCTCTCTCACACCCAGACCTCAGTGAGATTCACAAGACCCGCGCGGCCACCTTACCTGCTCGTGGCTTCAGGACAGGTAAATACTCTGAACATTTATCTTATCACACCGGGACCACAAAATTTTAATTTTTGTGTTTGGCAATGTACAAACCTAAGAAGACGAAATGTATCTTGCACAACGAACTTAAGGATAGTTCAAAGACTATTTAGTCGAGGTAAACCTTTTGAGATTAAATTCTTTTGGGATTAAAATCCCAAAAGATTTTAAGCAATTTGTTGTCTACATAATAGCTATGTGTACGTGAAAGAGAGTAGCTCATTTAGAACAGTTATAAGTTGAATTTATGAAAAGATGTTATATAGGGTGAAAAAAGAACTGTCATCCATATTTTCAGTGTTTTTCGTTCTCAAAGATTGATCGATATTATCAGATTCTTATTGAAAAAAACAGACGGCCTGTCTCGCAGGGCCGACGGAAAAATGTCCGTATGTTCAAAACATATAATCAGTTCACTTCTGCCCGGAAATTGCCTTTCCCTGTTTCTTTTTTACCAGTTTGAGGGCGGCAAAACCCAGTTCAAAGAGAGAAAGTGCCTAACAATAACAAGACAAAAAACAACACATTCTATTGTTGTTTGGACAAAACGCGGTTTTAACTTTGTTGTTTTATTAAACGAACTAGTTAACTTATTTCCCGTGCAAAGCTTAAAAACAGAGCAGTCTCCCTCTACTCTGCAAAAGAACTTGTCTATGATTCTTTCACTTTACTGCTTGAACTTTTGCAAGGTAACTCGTTTGATTGACGGATTGGAGGGTGAACCCAAACAGCATGACACTACTGAGTAAACAACCCTTGTTTCCGACTGGTTCCCACGCCTAAAAACGCCCCGAGGCAGCATAAAATTTACCAAACACACTTGAAAAACAAGAAAATGAGGCCAAGAAAAACAGAAACGTCAATCAGTTTGTCATTTCGAGAGGTTGTGTTAATAGCTTAGAAACGATTCCTTCCTTGGCTTCAGGAATGTAAACGAACCGTGCCTTTTGATTGCTTTGAAAGGACCAGACCGCATGATTTGGCATAATTAGATGTAATTTGTTTAATGAAGTCAAAAGCCTATTAATATCCTTAGTTCTCGAGGCGCTCAGTCATTACATCTCTATAAATAAGTGAGGGAGAGTCCTGAACTGACCTGTGGCACTGGATACATCACTATCACGCTTCGAGTCTCGTGTACCACCCGCGAAAAGAAATCAATACAGCTACATGCCCATCGACGATTAATATCCAAGAGATCTACACTTCAATGCAAAATTCTAAAACCGCGCGGTGGATTAGAGAACGTGCCTCGGTTCAGTAGTCAATTTGCTACTGATCACTGTGGTCAAACGTCCGACGATTTAGCAATTGACTCGGCACTGCTCGTTTGTGAGAGAAGAAGAGCTGGTTGTAATTTCATTTAAGGTTTTGCTGTATTTACAATAGACTACAATAGCAACGAAGATTTGATGTCTTTGTACTCCACGACCACTGTGAACCGACAAAAGATCATTGTTAGATGGTTTGATAATGTTAAAGGAGCAGCGAAGGTTGCAATATGTTGAAGTTTAAGCGAGTGAAACCGAAGTTTTCCGATCACAATAACAACTTGGCCGTCAAGCCCGCCGTGGTCAGAGCAAGACTTATCCAAGGTTATCCTTTGAGATGTCTGTAGCGTCATTTGACAAACTAAACACCGCTACTAAAGTATTGCTACGTTGTGTGGTATATTGAAATCACTGATGTTGTTCTGTTTTCTTTCTCACAGATAACTACTTCAGGTCTCTGTATCGATACGACCCTCACGCTACAGGTAAGTTTGTAAACTTTGTGTTGTTCCTCTTTTGTTTCTTGCGTCACTAAACTTTGATAGTTCGTATCGCACCGAGTTCCATGGCTTCCTTGTCGACCTTAACACTGGTGAGTTTCTTACCGGAAAGAAAGCATGCCTTCACGTATTGTTCCATTGAACTTCAGCAAAACTTCCTCGATAGTAAAGAATTATGGCACAGAAAATGGGAAATTGGTTTTATTTACACGTGGCAGAAGAGTTACTTTAACGAACTTTACCGAACTACGCAAAGCCGTTGGTTAAGAGTCTAAAGACGATATGAGCCTTTCAAACAGTTTTTCGCTAAGCATTACGTCGGAATTGTGAATGTTCACTTGAGGTCACTATCGATGGGTATTAGATTGCAAAAAATTTCCAAATGACGACAAATCGCTCTCCGGAAATCAACATAAGCGTGTTTTCACAAAACTAGCGACAACTCAAGAAATTTTAATCTTCTTTCCTGTTGTTATTTGCGACCCCATAATTTTGATTTGTTGATTCATAGTTTATATTCCGACAGGTTCTATTTTCTGTCTTAGCAGTTTGTGTTGCTTGAAAAGCGTAATTTCCGACTTCAGTTTGCTAAAATAGTGATTATCTCAGGCTTGCCTTTCCTGTTTTCATTGTATCGTTTTAGGGATCGCAATTTGTCGAACCGTTTTTAACTTTTGTTGGCTGATATATAGCAATTACATTGTGAAAACAACGCCGAGAACATCTAAGAACAAATTTAAACGATCAGAGATCGCTATTTTCAGGCGTATGATCTGAAGGTAAACGTATTTAAGGCAATTTAGATCTGGGTATTTCTTAAGGTATTTCGTATGTAAGTTATTGGCATATTCTTCAATATGTCGGGGCCAACAATATATTTTTTTCGTTGAAACGTTATGAAAGACGTGAGGCGTTTAATTCATAAAAATTTAATATATACATTGTACAAGGCTTATATCAGTTTATTACGCCAACAGAAAACAGTGACCTTAGAGACCCAAAGAACAGGCACAGGAACGTTCAAAATTATCATAAATCGCTTGAGAACCTTTCAGACCAGTTTTGGAAAAGTGTTGAAAGAGCTTCCAGTCCACTTGGACGAGGTGCAAGTAAGTTTCGTGACTTGTGTTTTGACTGTAGGTGACTTAATTGCCGATTGTATTGATTTGTGGAGTTCCATATCATGTGTTGGAGACAACAATACCAGCACGATGCCGCTCTGTGGCTCAATGGGTATTTTTATAAGATATTGCCCATCGTTATAGATACGTACAGTTTCACGTTAAAATAACAGAATTCTTGACAGAAGAAGGACTATTTAATTTATTGGCAGCCTACGTTTGGAGGCAAATTATGATCAAATACGTAGTCAAATTCCTATCTAATGAAGTCACGTCATTTCTGTTCATCAAATAGCTAGTATAATTTTTCACAAGTAACATGGGGCAGCGTTACTTCATGCACACTTCTCTCAGATGTTGCGAGATTAGCTTCAGACCTGGCGGGAAATAAGTTCTAAAAATAAATTTATCGCCTAGCAGGTGTTCGAACAATGCTTATTGTAACGTGTTTACGAAAACATTGTCACACTTAACAAAAAGATAACGTTGTCAGGAAGGGTTTCAAGAATAGCAAGTTCAACAAGAGATATAATGGTGAAAGCCTCGAGTCTTTTTTTTTTTAAAGAAAAACTTGGGCAGGACGTGTGAGAACCTCGCAGGGTTTCTTGTGAAGAAAAGCGGTTGCAAATTACTCATCGCTGATTTTTTGAACGAGATCGGAGAAAAGTCGTACGCATGTAAAACTGAAAGCGAGCAATATCATAACGCAAATAAATATAACCTTATCTTGCTGTTTGGTGCGTTTATACTTCGTCGTTTTTTATGTTCCTATTACAGAGTATGCTAAAAAAAATTGTCTAACCTTAGCTACAAACTAATCAGGGGTACTGTACTTCACGACCTGTCGTTTATGCAAACTGAATTGACTTTTCCACTGAACAAAATATCAATCTAGTATGTGTTTCTTTATCAACAGTCTCTTCATCAAGGACTGATGACTCACCTCCTTCATCGATAAAGTCTTCTACAGACGACGTCACATCCGGTCTTGCCAGGCTTGCTGTCCCAGACCAACCAAGGCGACGTTCCGCAACGGAGGTCGCAAAAATCTCCGAGTACGTCAGCGAAAGACAGAAACGTAATTCTCTTCGGAGCGAAGGCTTACGAAAATCAGAGAATACCGAAGTCAGGCCCCGATCGCAGTCGGACCTCATTACGACCACACCTTCGGAAGGAGGCAACAAGGAAACAAGGAGTTACACGTTGCCCATTAATTTCTATGCCTCGGAATTTGAAAGAAGCCGACCATCGTCCGACAGATCGTCGGACACCTCACTGCCGTTTTCCGATTCCTGCTCGGAAAGCTCCGGTGATTCCGATCACTTGACCGTGGGTAATCCCCGCAGCCCAAATTACAGAGGTATCTCTAAGAGATGGTCATACGACGAGAATCAAAACGAACGATTAAGAATAGCTGAAGAGCGACTTCTAAATGGACTCATGGGTAGCGAAGAGGCTGCAAAGCGAAAGAAAATCACTAAAAACCCTCTAGAAAATGTCATCCACTGGGTCATAGAGCCGCCTAAACAGGATCAACCTGCAACAACGCACCCAGGTGGAGTACAAAAAGAGAGCCAGCTTCCAAGAAGGCCAGATCCACCAAAACGAGGCGACAGTAGTAAACGAATCAATGTACAGAAAATACAAGAGTACAGAGAAGTAACCAATCTTTGATGCGTGCACACGTGAGCAGATGATAAGATTAAACGTTGATAGTCTCCCGAGAGGCTAATGACTTTGAAAACGACTGACTGAAGTTTGATATTATATTAATATTATATGGAAGCGCTCTGTGGACCGCTGTTGATCGGTGGTCTGTAGGCAGGACTTGATGGGCGCGTCAGAAGACACTTTGACTTATTGAACATGATTTGAGAGCTGATTCTGCATTTTAAGTCTGTTTTATTGTTCAAAGGTTATTCTACGAAATGTGATTTACTTGAACTTGATTCTCTTATGCACAGTTGAATCATCCATTTTAACTCTCGATATCTGCGTTAAAAATAACAATTAAGACCGCTGATGTAAGTAACTTTCTAAAGTTTCAAGTCGAATCAGTAAAGGTGTACCGCGTATGTAAGCTACAGTAAAAAAAAAGATGACAAGAGTAAAGTCTGTAGATAAGTATTTTGTAGCAGACCAAAGCTTCAACTTTTTTACTGGATCATTGAACTACTCTTTGAAGAACGACAGACCAAACAAGGCTGAGTTATTTAATGGTTCTGTTTAGTCTCCGTAACGATGTGCCCCACAAGTGCATTGAGCTTCGTTGTATCTTTATCTTATAGTAACCGCTTTTGCCCTCTACTTTTGCTTGTAAAATTAATGGGTAAAATAACAAAGAGTTTAATAGTATTAAACACTCGGCATTGTCAGAAACGAAAACGTGACAGACTGACAAATTCAGTGCTTTTAAAGCTGATTTGCATAGCTTTAGTAAGAGAACTGATAAATAATTAACATAGTAGGATCCGAATTGATCAACAATGCTTGTACATTATAAAATGGATGATTTCAATAACGTAATCGTGTAAAAAAAAAAGAATGAAAGTTGACTCAGTAACATAACTTCCTTGAAAAGTATACATTTATCAAATAAAAATCAAGTTCATTGGTGATTTGTTTTCATCGTTAATGTAATTTTCTCTTGTTTGCTTTAAGCCCTGACTTTATAGGTGATGTTGCTGAAACTTTTATCCTTTGGATTAGTTTTTTTCCATAACAATCTGAGCTTACCTTAAAGGTTATCGCTGAATCTGAAGAAACTCTTTTTAAACCATTCAGACCTGAATTGAAAACAACTGACCAATGCAAGACCTGTTTACCGCAAGTAAACTCGTCAAACTAAGGAAAGAATCAGAACTGTGGACCCCCTACATAGTTAAAGTAATTCCCTAGGAAGCACCTCGTGTTGAGACTAACATTTACACGCAAACTTAGCTCTTTTTGTCCACTCCTTTCAAAAAATGTGCATGCGAATTTTAAAAATCGTCCCAAAATTCTCAAATTTCCATGGGGCTTTTCACTTTAACCCTATGAAGCCAATTTTTGATTGCGTAAAAACTCAGGGATGGGAAAATAGTACTACCACGTTGCATTCAGGTGTACCCCCTTCTCCCCCCTTCTCCCCCCTTCCCCCCCCTACCCACCCACCCACCCACACACACACACACAAATTCAAAACCACTCAATTAGATTTTAGTACACCCTTCTTCGTCGGATTGCTGTCAAATTTACTTTACTGGTCACTGAAGTTTGCCATGATCACAATATGATAGACTAAATGACCTTGTAGAAATTTCTTCATTTACCGAAACTAAATAATAGCAACGTTTTGCAGGTTAAATTTCTCAACAGACATGCAAAGCATCGTAGCTAGAGTTGAAAGTTGGCTTTGAAGTTTGCCTCGATTTTCAGAAAAATGACCTTGTTAAAGGTAACAGTACCCTGTTATCGTTGCTATGTTATTTCTATCGCATAGAAGTGAAACGAATATAGAAGAAAAGGTCATAAAGCGCCAGTGCCCAACATGATGTGAAGTTTGCACTTCGTCACGATTAAAGAAAAAAGCCCCCTTTAGACCAACCGGACTTGTTCAATGATGAAGCATCCGTCAATATGAAAGAAAGTTACATCAACAAGACACAGCGACCCCGGCATATTAACGTAAATAATAGATCTTGCAGAGAAAACTTTTAGAATATTACATCTTTAAATGTTTACAATAAACACCAAAAGTCAGCTTTTAAAACAATCGTTACTAGCCTTGGGAATACCAGTTCAGTCATGCCCTTTCGATTTACGGCTGTCTCCATGGAAACTTGGGAAAGTTTACCTCTCATCCTAACCGTACGTGGACACACCCAAGACATAATTTAAAAACAATTTTCACCAGGTAATAACAGCGCTACAATGGGCAAAACTGATTTTATTTCCGTGTCAATGGTTTGAAATAGAGAAGTGAAATATTACATTTACAGTACAACACAGTTTAAGTTCAAGTTCCAAAGCTGTTTACGTTGTTTCAATGGAAATAGTCTTTATCCGCGTAGTCACGCAGTTGTCACGCAACTTTACTCTCCTCTGGTAGAAACGTCCCATGACGACCAAATGACGGCTGGTGAGAATTTTCCATTTACAACACATTTATAGAAATTTCGGTTGAATTGTAAATGGAAACGGAACAACGCCAAATGAATGTCAGTGCTGGAGGCTAACTGGCATCCCGACTTCTAATTTCTTTTTCGCGGGGGAGACTGTTCCTCAACCTTGCAGGTTGAATGTCAACAAATCAGACTCCACTGCCCAAAAGGGTTAAAATATCGACTATACTTTAAAAACGATTACAAATAATAGCTTCATATTAAATGTTCTTACAATTTTAGACGAAAAAAATACTTGCAACAGCGTTAGCCATTTCAATGCATACCATATATTCACATATTGTTTTTGTAAAAGTTGTCGTTTCTTCTTGATGAAACGCTGTTTTAGTTTTGTTAAATATTAACAAGGACATGTAACATGTTCCTCGTACATTATCTGTTCAGCGAAACTAACAGTGTTGCAATAAGGAAGGTTAAGTTAAGGATCCGATGAACCTCTGAGATGGCTCATTGGTGCTGGTACTTGCCCTAGTATCTATAGCATGAACAGACCATATTCGCATTCTCGGTATTGGACTGGAACTAGCTTGCAACTGACGTTAATGCGGGGAGTCTTTTCAAATGTAAATAACATTTCTCTCTTTTTAATGATACTCCCCGGCATCAGCCAGCAAGCTAGTTCCAGTCCAACACTGAGAATATGAATATTGTTTATTGAGGTAACCAGCAGTATTGCTAACATCCCCCGCCCTTCGGATGAGATGCTAGTCCATCGCAGGTTACCTCCTCCTATTTTGTTAGGCTTTCCCAACTGCTCAGTTACTGAACACGTCATTTGTTGTCAGAGGAAGGAAACAGAACACAACATTCGTTGCAACAACGAACCACTAACTCCACAAAGCAAAGAGTCTGGGGACAAAGAGATTCAAAGTACTACACCTAACCTAAAAGCAATATTACAATATGTAATGTGTCACATTATTCTCACCTTTTGAGTGGTTCTTACTTATGATCAATTGGAGGACAGACGCATGGATGACGTCATTAACATTTTTGGCTTGTTTGTTTCTTTATCATATAAAACAAACAGATCCCATGTTGCCGTGTGTCTGTTCAAAAACTGACTGTCGATCACTGGATAAGCAAGATATTTACCTTACGACCGGTAAACATCCCTCACCGACCAACGCCATCGAGCTAATTTCTAAAATTTCAATGTGACAAACTGAATTGCAACAGTAAAAAAAAAATGTGTGATGCTATTATTAAATAATACGATAAAATATGAGGATCCTCATATACGATTCGCTCAAATGCGAAAGATACGTCACGAGTATAATTTGTAAATCACACCAATGGATGTTTAATAAGCACGAGTGTCCTAAACGTTCATATTTTGTCCACTGAAGTGTCTTTGTATAAGCATATTCAGCATTCTGTTTGGAGTCAGAGTGGTATTCTTCAGAGGAGCATTTGTCATTGGACTTGTTGAACGTCCAGATGTCAGCCACTCGTCTATGGAGGCACGTTCGTATGTGTAACCATCTTACAAGACAAAAAATGGAATTAAAAAAATTAAACCAGCCGACTTATTGACTGTCTTCACTGACTGACTGACCAACTATAATGGGCGGAAAGAAGGACAGAGAGATGGATGGACAGACAGACAGACA